ACTTTCTAATTAATAAGATCCCGTTCAACTTAACTGTCATCAGTTGAGTTCGAGTATCCTGTTCTAGAACAAAGAAAAAAATCACCTTCAAAGATCCAGTTTTATATTCCATTGGCTATGAATAATTCTCAATTTCAACAGTTTTTACGGAAGCACAAAGTGCTCCTTTAACCGGGAAGCAATGTAAACGATTATTGGTACTTTTACTGACATTCTCTCGCTATCCGTTCTACTGATTTCCTCGTTTTGTTTTCAAGGGCGGCGTTTGTCTATTTTTAGCGACTAAAAATGACAGAATAGATAGCATTTATCCCTGATCGACGGAAGTCAATCCTCCACTCTACTTTGAAGTTCTTACCTAGATATGACCGATCTTTTAAGTCCAGAGAAAATCCATATTCTGTTAGCTCTTTGGAGTTCTTCGCTATTAATGACACTTCGACCCGCGGCCGTGTTTTGTAGTTTGCAGGAAGGATTCTTAAGATATTTTTAAATGTCCACTAGGAGTTTGAATGTTAGGATGCATCTTAGCGAATAAATTTCACCTCATTGGGAACCAGTGTTGGTATTTGTTGATAGAACTTGAGAAACATAATTGAGTGATTTAGTAATCAGAACATTAATCTTTGTCAACGGAATTGCTTTTCCACACAATATCTTCTAGGATACGGAGGGCTTTATCTCCTTACATATTACAAGGGGAAAAGCAATACATTGATTTGGAACCTTTGTAATAATGTTGCTGTACTTGGAGAAATAGTAAAATGAATAAAGGTAATTTACAAATGAGTAAATTTCAGGTATTGAAAGCCTTAGGTCAAAGTTGTAATTATCCTTCTTGTTTATTCCGATTTGTCCTTCGTGCCTATCATGTGCTGTTTCCTTTTAAAGTCCAGCCTTCTTCAGTTACTCCTTGAACTACTTTACTAACAAGACAAAATAGGCAGGCCATAATCTGGCGCGAAAATATGCTCTCTTCAGTTTGTCTGCAGACATACTCTGTTTCAAGAAGCGAACAGTTCTGTGATAGAGAAGCACTTGAGAACCAGAGCACTTCGAGGAACGGATAACGACAACATGTATCCTTCCTTAGAATGGATACTAAAGGAACAAGTTTGTCTTGTTCTTAATTCACTACGCTTGCTTATTAACGTTGTAAGGAATCACGTAGGCCCATGGATATTCTTTGTATGCAGCTAATTGAACTAAACAGACATGAAAATCATGAATCACAATCCAATCGCATACCTGTTTGAATGCGCCTCTCGTATCCTTGTTGGTCTACGTTTCACCCGAAGATCCTTGATTCAGTCATCTGGTAATCAGTTCTTGCTTCCTTTCTCAGAGTATACATAGCGATATATTTGAGTTGAAAGGGGTTAAAATTGATAAAGTTCAAAATAGTGCCCATTTTCAGTCATGTCTGTGAAACCAGAAAGTTCAATGTGAATTGTGCTGTGGCTGTCTATTCACTCTGCAACTCCGTTATAAAATCATGTAGTTATTGGAATTCAAACACCTTGTCTAATGTTATACAGTATGGCAAAAGATTATGGAAATTCATCTTTGAACAAGTATTTACTGTCAGATGATTTGCCAAAAACTGATGTTTGCGGAACTGAGGCAAGTGTAGATCGTAAAAGTGATTACAGTGAAGGAATATTGTCTGATTCAGTTGACAGCAAATCAATTCTCAAAAATCTTGTAAGAAATAATAGTTCAATGCACAGGGTTTTTGATGTGGTTTTCAGATTTTTGTATGACATTTATTTTGAAACCCACAAAAAGGTCAAAATAGGTGTATTCCCTCTTGGTATGTAATGAAAGTCGAATGCCTTTAATTGAACATACTAAAATTGTAAATAGCACTGCTTCTCTTTTTGTGGCCATCAGCAGTATTAAATATTCAGAGATTTTTCTATTAAAAACAATATGAACTATTGAACAGTAATATTGCCTCAATCTACTGATTTCTGACAACTCTCTTTGGGTGAACATTTGCCAACAAACTTTGACTTGGTACCAATAACAGATAAAAAATTCCCCTCTCCTTGCAGTTAAAGACAAGTACATTACCTACTCAGGGTTTGTAAAAGCCTTGAAAGTCCTTGAAGATGCTTGAATTTAAAAAATTAAAAACTCAAGGCCTTGAAAGGACTTAAATTTGAGGACTAAGGCTTGATTGTTGTAGTGCTTTTTCTTTAACAGTTTTCAAGTTGAAACTTACAGTACTTTGATGGAAAGCCTGAGAAATAATATTAAATGATTTTAAAATTGCTCATGCAAACCTTTCCAAAAGTGGTCCTTCGATTTTCTAAAACTTGGCCTTTAAAGTCTTTGAAAAGTCCTTGAATTTCAACCTTTGGCATCTACAGGAAGTTACTCCTGTATGGTAATATATTATTTTGATTGTTGACTAGTACCATAACAACATTCATTACACTCGAGCAGACAAAAATAACACAAGTACGCTTCTTCGTGACCGGCAATGATGAAATTGCGTGAGGACAGTAACGATGGCAATATGGCAGTCCCCTAAAGATAACTCCAGATGTGCGATATTGAAAGCCCGAGTTCACGCAGATATGCGTCTAGTTATTAATAAAAGAGTTTCTATGAATCATCTGTCAATCTTTCACCTGAAATTGTGTTGGCAACAGGCATCAGTTTGAATATGGAAAACAAATGTACGATTGTGCCGCTTGAAACTACAAGAGAAAGAGATATAATGACTCATCGGATCTTTAAAAAGCTTTTATATTTCACTTTCAACGATCTCTGGATATGAATTTCGCATCTGGTGCTGGCAGGATTTATTCAACTCTACCGATTCTATCAACGATAGCCAGACGTGCGCAAATGTGTAGGTGCTGATGAATTAATTCAGCAGAGGAGAAAAAAAAAATAAGGAGAATAAATACAAAAAAATTAATAAATAATAATAATAATAATGATAATAATGATAATAATAATGCCGACCATAGTCACGCCAAGGCCAACAGAGTGGATGCCATGTTCGTGGATCACAACAGGATGCAAGTCTGGGCGGTGGAAATGAGTTGTCCCTGGTTAGATGACCGCGGAAAGAAGGAGAAGGAAAAGACGGGAAAATATGCCCCACTGCAATGGGAGCTTAAAAAACAATATGCTGGATATTGCGTGGAGCAGTTCAACCATAGTTATCGATGTGCTAGGGGGGGTGGTCGAAGGAGCTCGAGGAAACAATGAAAAAGCTTGTGGGAGATAGGAGCAAGGAAGTCCTGCGAAAAATGCAGACAACGACGTTCTCAAGCTCGCTTAACATAGCGCGCACCTTCAAGGCCACCGTCAAGTAACAGTGCCAACTTTAGTGTTTTAGAGACTTTTAGGGAATTTGTCGTTTTAGCTTTTAGACATAAACATAGTTATCTGTATAGACGTACGTTTCTTAAGAAGACATAGGCTACGCTTTGTGCCCTATGTTCTCTTATTTATTATAGCATCTATACGTGTACACTGAATAATAATACCAGAAAAAAAATGATGAAAACAGAAGAAAAGAAAGCATTAATCTAACCAAATAAAACAGAGAGAACGTAACAAATATACTGATGGTGTGTATGGATTTCTCTTCTGCATATGCAGTTCCTAGCTTTCTTAAAGACTCACAGCTCAAGCCACAGGGGTGTAGAGATTGTTTGCAACATTTTTAATCAGGAACTATCCTGTCTTTTTCAACATGAACGTTTTATTAAACTCCATGACATTTGCTTTCTTCTGATGGGTCAACGTGATTTTTTATCAAGTACGTTTTAGTCCACAATCAATGAAATGCACTCTTCAAACTTTACAATCGTCTCCGATGTATAATCCTTTTTGTTTTACATGATAATATGTGTGTATGTATTTATCTTTTGTAATATAGGAGGATGGGAAGTGGGGGG